CTTTCTGAATCAGAAATTCTGGAGCTGAGACCCACAAATCTGGATTAACAACCCTCCAGGGGAATCCAGAACACATCACATCTGAGAATTCTACCATATCCAAAATTCTCTGGATGGGGAGAGTAAAAAAATTCTGGTCCTGGGTCTTGCATGCAGATCCCTGGCCTCATTCCACCTACTACATCACCAGTGTGAGCTCCCCTTGTTTTGCACTGGGCCACTGTCACACACTTATCCTTGGTTTGTTCTTGTTTAAATGGTGTCCTCAAATACAAGATCCTTAATTGCTTAATTTGGAAAAGGAAGGACAGGGAGAACCGACCAGAGGCAGTAGAGACTGGAGTGTTACACTGAAGATCACTGGGAGACTCCATCAGTTAGTCATCTGCTGACACATACAACTTATGGTGTGCAGTTATTGTTCCAAGACTACACTTATTAATTCATTTCATCTTGAACTTGCCTCTATGGTGGAGTTACAATTAACATTACAATTTAGTATTGCTCTGTAATGACTTGTATATTACTATTCATTTCCACTCTGCTTTAAATAAACTATTATTGATGTTAATAGCTCCAGTGAACCTAGCTTTGACTTTCCTGGTTTGTTTACAACTATACTCCTCTTTCTGTAGTTTTGAGCCATGATGCAGTTGAGCATTTATTCTTTCAGATAGAAGTCTGAAAGTACATATTAAGTACCTACCCTGAATGTAACCATGTCCTATGGAGCATACAAAATTGACAGTATATGTATTCCCAAAATCCTTCCATTTTTAATTTAGGCACACAATTTAAGTAAATTTCTGATACCCCCGGGAGTTAGTCTGGGGACATGTGACTGAGATAAGATGAAAAGAATTTATATAGGAGAACTATAACCCCCAACTCTGTAGATATCAGATATGTCAAATTTGTGTCCCCCAAAATTAAAGAATGCATACCAAGGAACAACAGAGGTCAAGAGTAGGAAAGATTTATTGAGATAAAGCTCCTGAGAGATAAGGGTGGTCTTGAAAGTGGGTTGCCACAAAGGTCACTTCTCTAAGAATGTTTTATAGGCAAAATCATGAGGTGGGTACAAAATTAAGGTGAGTACAGCATGGGTCAAACTATAATCAACCAATAAGATTACAAGTATAGCCACTTAAGCTAATATTTTTGTTATAAAAATGTTTTTTTAATTTTATTCATACATTTTAGGTATACATAATAACATTCATCACAGTGAATTTGTACCTGTACATGATATATCTTGATTCTTCCTTTTTGATCCAATAGAAAAGTGGATCAATAGCAAGGGTACAGGGAAAGAACAAAGAAAGGAATTTTGAGGAAGGGATGGGTCCAGATGCTCTCACCACCCACCTGGGTTACTGATGTCTATCTGGACTTTACTGGACCAACTGATACAAATTATAGTATCTTCAATTTCTTTCTTATCCCTTGGGAAGGCATGTAGGTTGGTCATTACATCTTTATCTTGAGGCCTGACCTTCAACAGATGCGCCTCCAGCCACAGTCATGATGTGTTCTCATCTTCTGCACTAACTCCCTCGAGGGCCTGCCCCTGTCTGCCAAAACAAACTATCAGGACCCAGAAAAATACCAGAGACAATGAAGAGATCCTTAACCAAAGCGGAGAGACTTTGGAGGAAGTAAAATGCAAATGAAACAGTTTGCACTCTGGACATCAATGGCCTACTTGAAACCAGGAGAATCCTTGCTTTCTCATACTTTAGTCCCCAAAAAATGGATGTGTACAAAAAGCCAGTCACAAAGAATTAGATACTCTAAATCTATTCTTTTTTTGGTATGGGGGATCAAACTTGGAACCTTTCGCTTTCGAGACAGGCACCGGAAACCCTGAGCTAAATCGCCAGCCCTCTAAATCTATTTTGAAAGGGCAGACAAAGCTAATCTAAACTCCAGGCTGGCCTTGAACTATGTAGCCCAGGTTGGCCATGAACTTGTGAGTCTCCTTCCTCAGACTGTTGAGTGCTGGGATTACAGGCATGCCCAACCTAAATATAACTGTGTTAAATTGTCCATTTTATCACGTTGGGTTGTACTGTATCACCTCCAAGTAACTTTTCAACCACCTTTTATGAGACTCTATTACTACACTAAACCTGTCGGTATTTTTTTTTTTTTTTTGTTACCAGTGATTGAACTCAGGACCTTGTGCTTGTAAGGCAGGTGGTGGCACCACTGAGCTAAATTCCTGGCCGTTGTTGGCATTTTCTACTTAGTAATCTTTTCAAATATCTAGGATTCAAAAGTAGCATGAGAGGTTTTCTAGAGCAGGAAGGGGAATTAAGACTCGTTTCCAGATGTTTCTTTGATTTCCCATTGTAAATATCAGAAACCAAGTCTTACAACAAATATAGTGCAACTCTCTGATTTTTAAGTATGTGAATGACATTTTTGTGGAGTCCATTTCTGGACTCTCGGTGTTCCCTCCTGGTCATAAATCCCTGGAGTAAGCAAATTTAACACACCACCACCAACTGAGAAGTTGTGTGCAAGCATATGTCCATACAATAATACAAATGCATAAAGTTTTACCTGCAATATTAAAAATCTGCTAATAACCCAATGTCTTTCTACAAGTGAATAAGCAACTTGTGGAATAACTATTGGCACAATCCTTCTCAGCAACAAAAAGCAATAAACTATTCAAACAAGCAACGCAAATTTATCTCAGGGAAAATCTCCACTGTGCTGAGTAACAGGAGCCAGACTCCCTCCCCACAAAAACGTCCTGTATTTTCATTTAGTTAAAATCCCAGAAAATACAAATTGATCTAGTGACAGAAATTGGCTTGGAAGTGGGGAAGCAGGTAAGGGAAGGAGGCAAGAAATCATGACTCAGGGAAACATAGGGGGCTGGTAGGTTCACTACCTTGACTGTGGTGCTGGTTACACAGTATCACATCATTTAAAATATTTGGTTTATAGGGCCAGCTGTGGTGGTGCATGCCTGCAATCCTAGCACTCAGGAAGCCAAGGCAGGAGGATCACCACAAGTTTGAGGCCAACTTGGGCTACATAATGAGTTTAAGGCCAGTCTAGTGAGAGAGCCTGTCTCGGAAAAAGTTTAGGTTATAATGTCAACTATATCTTTAATCATTTTGACCTTTTTTTTGGTATTGGGGATTGATCTCAGGACCTTTCGCTTTTGAGGCAGGCAGTGGCACCATTGAGCTAAATCCCCGACCCCTTCTTTAATCATTTTGAAAATCATTTTTTTTCACTTTTAGAAGCTGTATCATATATTGTTATAATTTACATGGAGATGTTTCAGAACCATTGCATTTTCATAGGATTCATCCCATTTGGCAGTGTCGGGGATAGAACCCAGGGCTTTGTGCATTCTAGGCAAGCAATCTGCCACTAGGCTACATGCTCAGCCCTCCCCCAACTTCTGATTGTATTGTCCTCACAAGGTGAGGGAATAGTGAAAAACTACCGCCCTAGCCTGCACTGACTTTAAGGTTTATGCTGGCAAGCTTCCTTTGAGAAGGGTTAAGTTTCATTAAATGGTGACAGACTTCTAAACAGCACATCTGTAACACAGGACCCCAAATACCTAACCTTGTCACACACTAGCCAGCAGGCCACATAGGCTCACAGGGTGGGGTGGGGGGTTGGGAATGTGTACACAGATGAGACCGGACAATGGTCCATTCCAGCAGGCATTCTGCAGGTGCCTAGGAGACAGTGGCTATCTTTCTAGGTTGCCTCCATTTTGCAAGGAAGCATTTTGGTGATGCAGCCTCTATCAGCTCCTAAAACTTCTTGCCCCTTGGCTACTCAGGCTCCCGGAGACCAACAGTATGCACTGCTTCTTTCTAGCCCAAGCCCACTCCAAGGAAAGCTCACCATTCTTTTTTTTTTTTTTTTTTTTTGGTACCAGAGATCAAACTCGGGTCCTTGTGCTTGCACAGCAGGCAGCAAAACCACTGAGCTAAATCCCCGGCCCCAGGGTCAGCCTTCTAATACAGTACCAGCAGGGCTGTCTTGGGAGCTGGAGTGTTGGTCCTGCAGGCAGAAGTGGAATTGAGCTCTGTCTCAGCTCTGTTCAGGGAGCTGGAAATTTGTGCTTTAACGAAGGAGGGCGGTCAGGTCTTCCCTGTAGAAGCAATAGATGTGATGGGTGGTCTTGTGTCCACAGGAAGCAAAACTGGGCTGCTTTACTAGAGGTTAACTGAGAGAACTAAGAGTGATTTGTGAAGAGAATTTACCCACTTGAAAGGTTCACCTCCTTACTGCAGCCTTAACAGGTATTGTAGCTTCAACAGTCTCACAATCTGACCAATTTGTATCACTCATGTATTTAAGACAATCAAGAGCCAAAAGACTTCACTGTGTAACATGTTCAAATTACAGGGATAAGCAGAGCTCTATGTGGAGTAACAAAACAGAACAGAGAAATGACAGCAAGGTGAACACTTAAGACATGTTCGGTACAACACTGACATGCTTTAGAAAAGGTTGCACACTGATTATGTACAGAACTTCTTGGAGTCCTTTCTTAACGTCTGGAGATGTGTGGTACAATTAACAGCATCACACCAGCTACAGAAGTACAGAGATCCAGGAACGTACTTCAGAACAGGATCTCAGAGAAATATTTGGTGTTGCCTGCTCTGAACCTCCATAAAAATCCAATTCTGACAAATGCAGGACAGACAGTGTAACAACTTCACTTGGAAATGGTTCTTTAAAAAAGCAACAAGAACTAGTTCAAACTCTAGTGTGTGATGTGGCAGCCTGTCTTGGTGCTGTGGCACTACTGTAAAAGGCCAACTAGGGCATCTGAAGGTCAGAAAGAAGAACTGACTGGGGCAAGGAGAAGAGGCTTGATGCCACGGGTCCCCCTCTGCTTTCACGTGTGAATGAAGGAACACTACCTTTATTTCAATGTTCATTTGAAAACAACCAAAACCCTCCCCCCACCCCTACCATCCTTCTTCATAAATTCTGTTTCCAAACTCTTGATTCTTCTTGGTCTAGACTTTTTCCTTTTGCTTTAATTTTGACACTTTCTTGACAGTCCCATTCTTGTTTAGAAGCTTCAGGACACGATCTTTATGATCTAAAACCTTAAGCATGGAGTCTCTGGCCTCACTGATCTGATCCATCACAAGCTTGCACCTCTGCATGTTTCCCTGGAACAGAAGACATCACATCATCAGCGAGCAGTCATGAGGAGGGAACGGCTCTGACAGAAATGCTCCCTTGGGGAGAGGCCATTTTAAGACTTCCACATAGAGTGCTTTTTGGTAATATAGGCTTTCCCCCACCATCAGTGCTGGGGATTGAGCCCAGGGCCTCAATGCATGTTAGGCAAGCACTGTATCCCTGAGCTACATCCTTAGCACTTTAAAAACTTTATTTTGAGACATGGTCTCACTAAGTTGCCAGGTTAGTCTCAAACTTGTGATATGACTGGCTCAGCCTCCAGAATAGCTGTGATTACTAGAGCGTGCCACCACACTGGTCATAACAATAAGCTGTTATTATGAAAGACACTAGAGGTCAGGGATTTAGCTCAGTGGTTCCGCCACCTGCCTCACAAGCACAAGGTCCTGAGTTCGATCCCTGGTACCAAAAAGAAAAAAATAAAGACACTAGTGGGTGAGGGAGGGCAATGGGAGAAGGAGGACTCTAGCAAATAACCTGCTATGTATGTGATCAGATGGGAAAGGGCACATCCAACCTGTATTAGTTCATTTATTCGGTGCAGATCATCATCAATTGCAGCTTTTTTCTTTGGGATAATTCCTTCCTGTAGGTTGCTAAGTCTTTCAAAAATATCATGTTCCAGATTTGTCTGCAACACATAAGAGGGAGCATGTGACTCAGAGATATTGTTCTATATTAGCCTCAGGCAACGGAACCCACCTCAAGTCAATGTTGCCAACTATTGTAAGGGTGTTTGAGTGAAAATTCCCAGCCTAAAGTCCTTTCTCTAAAGGACTAAAGTATTAAGGTTAACAAACAGTCATGAAAATTGATCAATAGTGATTTGCATTTTATTTTGAC